TTTCATAACTGTAATAGTCTGAACTGGCTGAAAAATAGTATTGCGCGAGAGAAAAGAGATAGGAAGAGGGAGAGATATGTGTAAAGAAATTTCTAATGAAAGCTTACCTGTCAAATGAAATTACGACGAGAGTAAAAACGCTAGAAGCGACGGTTACGTGTGCTACGAAGTTGTTGATGGTGCAATACACCATTCCGAAGGGCCAATTAGAGTTGAGTAGGAAGATAAAGTTGAAGGCGCAGTTGAGCAATGACATCATAAGATCCGCAACGGAAAGATTTACCAAGAAGTAATTAGTTACGGTACGCATCCGTCGATGAGCTGAAACAGAAGAGCAAATAAGGGAAGCCTATAAAAGTCATGTTAATATCTTTATGGCACTCCTGAGTGTTAACGGAGATGTTTTAATGCTCGTTTCTAACTCCTATGTTTTTATTTTCTACTTATAAATTGCGAACTTTCTGCAAAAACATTATTGTGACTCTCGTCGTTACTTGTACAGCTATGATTGACAGTAAATTTTCCGCGCACGTTTCAGCAAGTCTCCGCCTTCTTATTAAAATTCTAAACATTTACCGTTGCAAGAAATCCGTCCGTAGATATCTTTAAAAATAAAACATCTGTACTTGATATCCTTCCTTTCCATTTCTCTACGATTTTTCTTACAGAAGTTATCGTGTCGTGAAGAATGAGTGAAAACCATTAAATTATCATACATATTTCATGTTGATTACGAAACAACAAAACTTATTTCCGTCGATCAGATGTGTTATAAGTTATAATGCGATTATAATACGATTTCATGAACTTAATTGATTTATTGTTTTAAACGTTTTGCTTTTAAAGTGATTGGATTCTATAATATTTTTGATCATTTTTTCGTGGAAGGACGCTTTTAAAAATTATCCCGTTTTAACTAGTAAATATATTTGAATCTTATAAATAACATTAGTGTTAGTATTTTTTTTAAAGTTTACAATACATCACAAATATATAACGCCAAATATATTGCGATATTTATAAAAAATCACGATGTAAGCTTATGCTTTTGTACGTGTAAGAAACATATCACGTACGAGACAATACCTTTTAATATCACGGTAAATAATATTTACATGGAGAGAATTTTCTCTTAAAATTTACCCAGCAAATCGTGTAATTGTGGGACAACATGGAATTTTGAACAACTTTATGAGAGCTTTCTGAAATTTTACCATACATTTTACTAATAAAATGTATACTAACAATAAGTGTAATTACTAACAAAATGTATGATACAATTTCAACAAGCTTTCATAAAATTCTTCGAAATGCCGTGTTATCCCACGATTACATGATTTCCAGGATAAATTTTAAGAGAAAATTCTCTCCGTGTAGTAACGGCATTTTTTTTTGCTTAAACTCTAAATACCATTTTATGGTTCAGAGAAAATTGTTATTACGCTTGCCGTATCTGCTAATGATACCTCACAGCGCATAAATATTGATAAGTAATATATGCAAGTACACGTACTAAATATGTATTTATTGAGAACATTGAATACACCTACTAACAATAAGAAGAAAACGAATAATAAAATATATCACATTACTAGTTTTTCATGAGTATTCCAATACCCTTTGCGAGAAATATTAATGTTTCCAAAGAACTTCATCAAGTGGTATGTGGCAAGTTTAAAAAGTTAAGAAAACTCGTGCCGTAAAAAGAATAAAACTATAATATATCTTGGTGATGTACGGCGACAAAGTTTTAGTGCGATGTGCAACTCGAAGTCAGAAATTAGAAATCAGTTCGGTATCTTTCAAAAACGCTACGTTTAAATATTCTATTAATAAATTTGTATTTATTGTTTTACAATATTTGATTTTATATCTTGATACATTACATAATTTTTAATATATCCACTCAATACATATTTCAAATTTGTACAAAATATTTACTGCAATCTTTAAGCAAAAAATAATTTATTGATTAAATTTTCATAATAAAACGTTTATAAAAATATACTTTTTCCGTGTACATTTCATATCTATATTATGTAAATAAATTATATGTAGAATGTATATAGGTAAAAACAAGGTAATAATTACAAAGTTTTCTCGCAAATATTTTTTTCTTTGTGTCCTCTGTGTTTTAATAATTATTTCTAATTAGTAATTAAATATTGTTTTATATAACGTTTTTAGTATTTGTAGTTTATAGCGCGCTACAATTTTTATGAAGACTATAAGTATCCTCGACAAACAGTGAATACACTGACATCTGTACTATGTTGAAAAGAAATCTTCACCGTACCTACAAATCAAGTTATTAGATTTTTAAAAGACAATTTGTCTCTGCCAAACGTGAATTACCTTGAGTTACGGTGTCTACTGCTTTGCAATTTAGAGAACAGTCAATACAAATTGACAAGCTTTCTATATGTGTACATTACAATAACTTTTATACTATTTATTATTTCAGTAATTTTTTAAAGTGCAAATTTTTCTTTTACAATAAAGTTTAATTGCCATTTATCTAATAATCATACTTAATTGACTAAATTAAATTTATTTAAGAATGCGAACAATATCTGCAAACGCAAAAAGAATATCTTGTTACATATTATTATTTATAAACTTTATTTAACTATGCATCTCGTCTGACACAAGTGTAAATAATATTCCCGTTATATAATACAAATTCGATACTTGAGAACGCATTCATTGCATTTAATGAGTGCACGTATATTTTTCTCTTAAAATGAATTTATTTTGTTTTCAAAAACTTTTGAAATAGAATATTTCAAAAATTTTGCTTTTATTTACAAAATTTATTATAAAATGAAAAACTTTTTCTTTTTAAATATGTAATTGATTAAGAAAAATCGATCTTCTGAAATTATAATAGATATTGCAGTGAAAATTAATACTAAACAGCCAATCGTTAAAAAAAAGATTATATGTTAAATAAATATAAAATTTATGTTAAATACATAAATTAATTATGAGACTTTACCTATTTTCTCTCATATTTTGTAGCGAGATTTTCATATATACGAATACAGTTAATCTCAAAATTATTAATTTCGCTGACTGTTAGCAGTAATCTGCATCAATAGTGTCAACAAATCATGAAATATTTTATTTTACAGTTAACAGCAAAAATATAACTTATTATTTTCGAAACATGCATATTCACTTAGATATGTGAATATACAAAAACAATAACTGCAGAGCATTACTAATTTTCTAATTTGCATTTGGTAAGATTTCTAGGTCATTGAATTTTGTGAAAGTTATATTGAGTTTATGATATCCATCTTTCATAAACGTTAATTATTCTATGCAACATTTTGATTTTACGATACGATATGTTTTCTGTAATTGCAATGACAAAGAAAAAAGAACGGAACTTACGATTAATGCGCAATGCACTTTTATATCTCAATAATTATTTGCGCGATCGATAAGAAAATTATTTCTTAAATGAAATTTGTGTGTGTACAAATGCAGATAAAATTTTCTTTTATATAAACAGATATTTTAAATTACAAAATTAAAGTTGTAAAATTCCAATTTCGAAAATAAAACTAATTATAAGAAATGGAAGTAGAATTGGTTTCTCTTTGATTTCATTCTTGTGGTAAAAATATAATTTGTATTCGAAATTTATGTATAATAGCACCCAATCAAAGAAAATTATTTTAATTTAAACTGTGAGAATCAGATTACGTGAAATCCTTCAAGACATTCATTGTGTGACGTATTTTCACGGGAAATATTAGTGGAAATTCAAATTATTGCCACTAGAAATTTTCAAATTCTTTTGAAATTCTTTATGAAGTTGATCTTTCATGAAACTTATGTAAAGTTATTATCAAACCAGAAACTCTTGAATATTAAAACAAGATATTTTTGCTTTATTAAAAGTTGTTGATTTATATCTAAAGCTTTGACAGTCCCAAAATCAATTAAAATTTATATAATATATAAAAAAGCAATAATTATTTCATATATAACACAAAAAGAATTTATATATTAAAATTGCTATAAATAAAGTAAGATTATTTTCTCGAGAAGAAACTATAATTTTTGCTACTCTCTTCAAAATTGAAATTTCTCGTTTTATTCGTCATCTAAAATGTAAAGAAACGTTGTATTCTTCTTATCTTGAATATTTTCTTTCAATTTTATTCATGCACTGGAATATTACTAACTCAAAGAAAAGAAGGATATAAATATATAAATTGTTATGAAAATAAGAAATTACAGACATTGAATATTTAATGTGTTTTTCAATTTCTTTAATTTTTATTTAATTTTTTAAAATTTTGTGCAAGAAAAGGATATAAAAATATTAATAGAGGTAAGCCCTCAATTATGAGACAGACTTCTAATATGAGATAGTAGGATTTCAAGGTCCAGGTTCAATCACAAATCTTTTTTGCAACGATTACATGATCTAACATTCAATTTTCCACTAAACAGATCTCACTCCAAGGGCAATAAATTCATAGTGGAACCAACATATAATGCCTAAAATTGAACAGAAACCCCGCTATCTCATATTAGGAGCCTATCTCATAATAGAGAACTTTCTTCTAATATTAACAACGTATAAATCTTCATTGTAATTGCTGACATATAATTTAAACTATGTACTAAAGGTACATAATATTATAACTATATTTCAAATACTGCACATTTTGGAAATTCTCGTTAGTGAGGATTATTTTCAAAAAGCTGTTTCAATTATACCAACTGATTTGCTAGAAAATAAATAAGAATTTATGATAAGTGTTGTGTGGTGACTGATATAGACTTCTCAATTTACGCTATTAGCGGACAATGAAAATCGACCGTTTGTGCATAACAAACGTAAGCGGATTGCGAGTCTATCCATGCAGAAACTTCAACTCTGTGGAAATTTGTAGTATGACGATTTGCGGATTAAATTGCATTAAAGGCTTGCGATGCATCAAGTGACATTTGATGTCAAGAAAACAAATTAAAAATGATCTTTTATTCTCATTCTTAGAAATTTTTAGTTTCGGCTTTTTTTTAAATTGTAACTTATTATCTGTCTTAGGTGTTTCATAATATTTTCAGTGTTTATAATTTAACATTTTTATGCGAATGGCTTTTTGAAACCATAGATTTAAATTACACATATGAAATAACAATAAGGCAAATTACCACATATGCTACAAATATTTGTATAACACTAAAAACAATCACAAATGTAATTTAAATGTCGAGGATAGTAACAGTGAGCGGAAGTACAAACGTTCTACCGTGTTCTGTACTACAAATATTTCTATATGAGTATATACTATACA